AGCTCGCCCTCTCGCGGCTCCCGGGCCGGCCGCCGCCGCCCCACTCCCCGCCCCGCGGCGCCCCGGGGGCACCATGCAGGCGCAGCAGCTGCCCTACGAGTTTTTCAGCGAGGAGAATGCACCCAAGTGGCGGGGGCTGCTGGTGCCGGCGCTGAAAAAGGTGAGCAGCGCGTAGCCCCGCGTCCCCCGCAGCGCGGGGCTGGCCGGGGAGGCGGGGCGCACGCCAGCTTCTTTCTTTGGTTTCGCAGCCGGGTTGGGCTGCTCTCCCGCAGGACCGCACGCGCCGCGGGCTTCCCCCGCACCGGGCTCCCCTTCGCTGTTGACATTCGCCGGGTTTGTGTGGGAAGGCCGCGGGCAGGCTGGGAACGTTGGTCTGGAGACTCCCGCCGCGGAGCGTGAATGCCCTGCCCCTTGGTTCGGGAGCCTCGGTTTTCTGTGGAGGTCAAAGCAGGCCACTTTCCGCCTTCTCGGACGTGCGGAGCTGGCGTCAGCCTCCCGTTTTAGGCGTCCAGTACACTGGTTTTACAGGCTGGAGAATGCCCTGGCCGCAGTGCTTGCTCTAAGTAATTGCGAGCTTGCCTGCCAGCGGGAACTCGGCCTGGTTTTGCTGGGCTCCGCTCGCAGCTCTGCGTTCTCCTAGCTCCCCCCACCACAGGGTGGTGCACACTGACTTCAGATGGGCTTTTTTGGAGAGTTTGAGAGTCTTCGAACTGTCATTTGCTTGGGGTTTTGAATTTTTAACCTTTAAGTTTGCCAGTGGTTAAAGTTATATGGCTAAGGTGGCTACATTTCAAAAGCTTCTATATCAACATTGTGACTTAGTGAAAACGGGTGTCCGGATGATTTTTGTTTCCTTTTCTTCATTTGCCTTATCTGTAGAGATTGCTTTACTCTTTCAGTTAGTTTCTAAGTCCCCATTTCTTGTTGCTCCAGTCATGTTCAGGCTAGCTTGTTAAAATACAGTTTGTTTCCACTGAGAATTCAAGATATGGTGTATCACTTATGGGAGGCGCTTATGCTTTACGAAAATGTCTTAAAAGGTGTATCATATTTCTCAAAGGCCACCAACTTTTTCTTTCCCCTTGCTCTGTTCTCCTTTTCCCCCTCTTGGTATCGTATGGTGGAAACTGGTTTGTTTGAAAATTTTGCTCTTATTTTTCAGATTTAAGCCACTGATTTTTAGTTCTCAAGGGTCTCACTGCTCACAAACCTCCCATTGAGGTTTTCTAGGAAAATCAAAGAGATGCAATATGTCTTGCATACTTTATTAATGATCCCATGAGGTTTCATTCCATTGTTTACTTTTGCTTCACCTGCAACCTTGACTTCTTGGGGAGTGACAGAAGTGGTGTGGTATGTCCCATTGTTGGAAGTTATCCTGACAGGACAAGAGGAGACAAAATTTGTTTTCAAATGTACAACAGATCCCATAAAACATTACCAGTTTAGAGCTACTTTGCTTTAGCGATAACCCTTGAGGACCTTTGAAGTAGTGGAAAGAGCATTGTAGAAGTTGGCAGACCTGGTCTAACTTGCCACATGGGTGGCCCTTGCTGAAATCTAGTCATAGACACATTTTTGTTTGGCTGGGCACACTGTTTTGTTTTGTTTTGTTTTTTTTTTTTTTAAATTTATGTAATTAGTTGTTAGTATCTTAAAATGTGGTATATTCATAAAACCTGAACATTCAATTCTTTGTGAACTATAGAGAAATCTTTCCGTACACTTTACAGGTGGCAGTAACTGATAGAGTTGAGTGAATGATTGCCTTCTTTAGGCAAGACATGTGTCTCCAGCTTACCACAGTTGTACTCATCTTATATAGCCTGTTTTGTTTTTCTACTTTAAGCAGAGATAACCCTTGCAGAAGTGATGGCAAGAGGTGGAAATATACAGAATCTCCCTGATACAGAAGGGCCTTCCCTTTATTTGAATACCTACCATCAATGATTGATTGTAAGACACTCAAGACAAGGTTGAATATTTTTCATATCTGAATATACTGTTCATAGCCTAAAATTCGAATTTTCACCCATGTGCTGGGCATTTCATGTGTTTATGTCTTTGGACATTTCATGTGGCAATGTGCTTAGCTTGAACTCTTCCTTCAGACTTTAGACTACTTTAGAATACCTAGCTCTGTATTCTCTTACTCAGGCTCTTTGGATACATTGTTCCTTTTACCTGGAATGTTCTTCTTTGTTTGGGCTGGCACTGCTTCATCCTTTGGGATTTGCTCAACCTCAGCTTTTCTTAAACACTCAGGGCTGAGTTAGATATTACTCCTTGAGTGTTTTCTAGCACCCTGTTCTAACTCAGTAGTGAGTTTTAAGTTCTACTTTACTTGACCATGCTCTTACTCCCCAGCTAGAAAATGGGAATGGTGCTGTTACCCATGACTTCCTCTACCTGCTGACAGGTGCCTGACACCTGTTAAGACTCAGTTTGAACAAGTGGGTAAAGGGAACACCGAAAATAATAAAACTGTCACCCAACCCCTGCATCTACTAATTTTAAAATTTTTTTCTTGGTTATGGATTTAGGATTTTATTTGACTGGTTCCAAACGTTGGGGTCATTGTCTGACTTCTCTCTGTATACTCCTGCTCATTTTCAGGCAAAACCTGTATGTTCATTAACCTTTTTTTCTAATCTACTAACTGCTCTGAGTTCCTTTTCCCAGATGAATGAAGTAGTCTCTTTTTTAAAAATATTTTATTTATTATTTTTATTTTATGTGTATGCATGTATTGCCTGCATGTAGGTAAGTGCACCCGTGTCGTGCAATGCCTGTGGAGGACAGAAGAGACTGTTGGATCCCCTGGAACTGGAGTTACGTACAGTTGTTAGCTGCCATGCGGGTGCTAGGATTCAAACCCAGGTCTTCTGCAAGAACAGTGTTCTTAACCGCTGAGCCATCTCTCCAGCCCCCATGAAGTAGTCTCTTAACTGAGTCCATTGCCCGACCCTGCTTGCCTTTGCCTATTTTATAAATTTCAAAAATTATAGTACATTTCTGAATATGTCATACTTAGAACTGTTGATGGCCTTTGAGTTTAAGTTAAGATAAAAACACAGTTTTAATATTTTTATTTATATTTATTTTATGTGTAGAGTGTTTTGCATGCATATATACAAGTGCACAATGTGTACAATACCTGGGAGGGCGTTGGATCCCCTGGAACTGGAGTTAAGGACAGTTGTTAGCTGCCATGTGGGTGCTGGGAACGGAACCTGGGTCCCCTGGAAGAACAGCCAGTGCTCTTAACTCCAGAGGCATTTCTCCAGTCCAAAATGCAGTTTTTACATGGAATTTGTGGCAGTTGATAAGTGGGCTCTACTCTGATCTCTGATCTTTTGACAGGCAAAGGATTACCTGTCAAAATCTTTATGTTTTAGCGAGACAGGACTGTTACTTTTCCTGAGTGTATTCACAAGATCCACTGTGTCCCCTACATCTATCAGTTTAAATCCTATTTTATTACACAAATACCTCACTTACCTCAGAACAAGTATTGCTCTCAGCATTAAGGATAAAGAGGTAAATAACATAACTAGAAAACACTAAGTGGAAAGTGGTAGGGGATGAGGTGACTGATTTATAAGTAAGATTATTTCTTTGTTTTAGACAGTCTCATTCCATAGCCCAGACTAGCCTTGAACTTGGCAGTTGTAATCTTCCTGGTTCAACTACCCTGGTGCTGGGATTATAGGTATGAACCATCATGGCTGGCCATTTCGGAGTTTTAAGTAGGGAAGTAACACCAGATTTGAATTTTAGAAACTTCATTTTGGTGAAAGAATGGGAGGAATGAGACCTGATGTTGGAGAGAAAAAATGAAAAGCTAGTTTACCAGTCCAGCCAGGAGGTGATAGGTATTTGGCTTAGGATGGAGATAGGAATGGATTCTGTGTGAAAGAGATTTAAAAGAGAAAATCGGCAGGACCTAGTACCTCACTAAGTGACTGGGTGACTATTAAGGAAGCAAGAAAGATCTTGTTTTGTGTTTGCATGTGGGTAGTCACATCTTTCGGGTGGAGGAAAGCATGGCATAATGAAATGATTTGGAACGTGTTGATTTAAGTGCTTTTGGGTTATCCAGGTATATTTCTTCAGTTGGCAGGTCATTTTTGATATCGAATGCAGCATTTTTGGAGCCTCTAGGCATGTAAGTAAAATACAAATATAGGTGCTGGAGAGCTGGCTAAGTGGCTAAGAGCACTGACTGCTCTTGCAGAGTACCTGGGTTTGGTTCCCAGCACCCACATAGCAGCTGACAGATCTCCCTAACTCTAGTTCCAGAGGACCTGATGCCCTCTTCTGACCTCTGCAGATACTGCACTACAAGGCTGCACTTACATACTTGCAGGCAATACATTCATGCATATAAAATAAAAATAATAAAGTATTTTTTAAAAAAGATAGAAATATAAAAGCCTATGTTTATATAGAAAGATTTACACATGAACCAGGCCTGGTGGTGCAGGCCTGTCATCCCAGCTTCTCAGAAGGATGTGGCCAGACAGACCTCTAAAAAACTGATGAAGCCAAACCAAAAAAGATCATGTCCTATATAATTCTGCTTATATAAAATTTTAGAAAACATAAACTAATGCAGGTCTTGGTTGAGGCTTTTAGGCTAAGCTTGGTGATACAAGTCTGTAATCCCACCATATGAGGTGGTAGCAGAAGAGTAAGGTTGTCGTTCTTAGCTATATAGGAATTTTGAGGCCAACCTATGCTACTTTAGCCCCAGTCTCAAAGAAGCCCCCTGCCCCAAACAAGCAAACAAACCCAAAAGCCTTTTTTGGTTTGTTTTTGGTCTTTTTGAGACAAAGTTTCCCTGTAGCCCCAGCTGGCCTGGAACTCACTATATAGACCAGGCTGGCCTCTATCTCAGAGATCTGCCTGCTTCTGCCTCGAGTGCTGAGTGCTGGGATTAAAGACGTGTGCCCTCACACTGGCACTAGCCTAACTATATTTCAGTTGCATCTCCGTGAATCCAACATGCTATAATGAATGTCCTGTTTGCTTCATCACATGTCTATCTTCTCCTTCCCTCCCTCCATTAGTCTGTTGTTGTTTTGAGATGGGGTCTTACCATACCCTGAACTCACTATGAAGCCCAGACTGTCCTCAGACTTGTGGCAATCCACCTGC